CCCGGGAAAGAGAAGTCTCACACGCATATTAAATTATGGTTCAAGTTAAGTTCTCTCTCTCACACACTCATGGCAGTCCTACCAATGGCGACACCGATGTAGGGCACGCCTCTCGGCCCTACCTCAACGGCTGTCCCATCGTAGCGCACATGCCTCACTCAGGGGTGAACCATCTATGCAGGGATACTGCCTCCACTCGGCTATCTAATCCGCTAGGTCTATACCCATTCGAGAAGTACGGTTGTACGGGGGTCGTTTCATGCTTAACTTCATGGCTCGGTCCTTAATTGACTGGGGACGGTACTAGCCTTTTCCAGATACCACCCAAATCCTCCGTCCGCCCCAGTCGAAAACAGTTGTTTAATTTTATTTCTCCTTTCACAAATCATGTCATCAACATCATGGCAATGTGGCGCTCATGTCTCCACATGCCGCATCTCAATTACCTTCCCAAAAGTAATTGCCCAAGCATCATTTGATAAATATGAGTATGCATGATTCTAGAATAGCATTTCTAAGCAATTGTCATAATTGACTAGGGACTTATACGTAAACATGGTTACGAAGGATTAAGGGGCAAACAATAATCAAGGCATGGCATAATTACAAGTAGGATGTTCATCATTGTATGCAATTTTATTTGTAAACAAAACAATTTCGCAATTGGGATCAACATGTTCAAGGAATAGTGATGACTTGCCTTGCTCAAAGTCTTGCGGGTCTTGGCCTTCGCTTGGATCCGCAACTCCCTCGGGCTCTATAGTTACGTGCAAAAATTGATTTGAATTCGGTTAGAATTCAAATAAAAATCCAAATAAATCCAAATGAAAGTCGAATGCGAAAGTCGATTCCTTTTTATTAACTTTACTATCTACGAACTACGGCAAACCCAATTTCGATTTAAACTATTTTGCGGGTATAATTATTTCGTTGTCAATAATTTACTCTCCCTGAGCATTGTATATAATAGGTTAGAAATTTCTATTACGAGCCAAATATTGGACGAAATCCTAGAAATATTATACAATTTAATTTAGTCTATGACTAAACGATTAAATATAATATACGCCTAAAATTCCTAGCGATTAAATCCGAATTTCTACCGTGAATCGATTACTTATAGGGATTACCCAAAAATAATCTATAATAATCTATAAAAATTCATCTATTTGTCTAGTTATTAATTACATCTAAATTACTACCGCGAATTGATTTCTTATAGAAATTACCAAGAATAATCCATAATTTATATTAAATTTTGCAATTCTACGACTATAATTAATCTATAGTTAAATTCTAATTATTTTAAATTTTCTAACTTCCCCAAACTCCCTCTAATTTCCTATTTATTTCCTTTTCCTTTTTCTCCGTTTCCTTTTTCTTTTCCTTTCTCTTTTCCCTTTTCTTTTTCTCTTTTTCTCTCTTTTCCTTTTCTTTTCTTTCTCTCCTCTCTTTCTTTTTCCCTTTCTTCTCTCTTTTCCTTTTCTTTTCTTTCTCTCCTCTCTTTATTTTTCCCTTTCTTCTCTCCCTCCCGGCTCCTTTCTCTCTTCCTCGGCTTCTCCCTCCCTCGGTTTCTTTTCTTCTTCCTCTCTTTCTCTCGGCTCTCTCTCTCTCGGCTCTCCCTCCTACCCGAGCGATGGCGGCGGTGGACGCGAGGGGGAAGGAGGGCGGCTCACCGACGGCAGCAGCGGCGACGATGGCGGTGGCGATGGTGGCGTACGGCGGCACAGAAGCGGCGGCACGGCGGCGCGGGAACGGCGGCGCGGCGGCACGGGAACGGCGGCGCAGCGGCACGGGAACGGCGGCGCAGTGGAGAGGGGAGAGGGGAGGAAAGGTGAGATGGGATGGGGGAGAATGGAGAGAGGGGGGGTATTTGTAGAGAAGGGAGGAGGAGAAGGGGAGGGGCGGCGGCGTAATGGCGATGCGACAGCGGCGCACGGGGCGGAATGACGGCGACGCGCGGGCGGCGACGCGATAGCGGCGTGGGGCTCGGAGCGGCGGTGTGACAGGTGGCGCGGGGCTCGACGCGGCGACGCGACGTGCGAGCGCGGGGCGCGAGGCGGCGATGGCGATGGGCGGGCGGCGCGGCGCGGGACGGCGATGCGACGGTGACAGGATGGTGGCGCGGCGACTGGACGGGCGCGCGGCGCGGCGATGGGACGGGCGCGTGGCGGCAGGCACGGGGCTCGAGGCGGCGGCACGGGGCGCGAGGCGGCGGCACGGGGCGCGAGGCCGACGGCGACGATGGCGACGGCGGCGCGGCGGGCGAGCGGCGCGAGGCGGCTACGCGCGGTGACGGTGGCGACGTGATGGCGGCGCGCGGGACGGGCTCGGGGCGGCTAGGGCAGAGGTGGGAGAGGAGGGGGAAGGCTAGGGACCACATCGAACACCTTAGGCGCAATGAACAGTGACTTTTCCTATTTATCCTGATTTTAGTGTATTTTCCATATAAATTTGATTCCACAATTCCTAATTTTACATATATGCATTTTACTCAATATTCGTGTTATCTTAACTAATGAATTCACCCTAGATTAATATTACTCATATTTTATTTTTATATAATGTATTTGAGTTTTAATTAGGGTTAATTCTTATTCCATCGCTATGAAATTTAATTGATCCAAATATGGTCGCGATAATATTTTATTTATTACTATCCACACCTAATCTTTATTTTTAATTTATATTTATTTTACCAATTTGTTTTTAAGGTTTATTTCTAATTAACTATTCTTTACTCACGATTAATAATCTTCGAGATCAAATCCAGATAAAATAGACGAATAAGATCGGCATGATGCAATTAGTTTAAAAAGTTTTTGAAAATCCGTATTTTTAGAGTTTTGATTTTGTCGGTCGAATTTTCAGGGTGTTACAGGGTATCTTTTCCCTTTTGGAGGTGAGATCCGACCTTCACAAACTTCTTCCGGCCAACCACAAGTAGATCGGTAGCTCGGGAGTGACACCTAGCCGCCTAGGAGTCCTCAACCTCCAAGAGTAACAAATGAAGTAAAGAACTCCCGGAGATGATGCAAGTGCTCACAAATCTTCACGAAGTCAACAACAAGCACTCACACAAACTCGAATCCACAACTCTCACACACAGACCAAATCCAAATCGAACACGGGTGAGAGGAGAAACAAGAAAGTAAGGCTCAAAAGTGCTAGAGAGAGAGCAAGCCAAGGGCACAAAAGATTGGAATGGAACCAGCAACCCTCACAAGTGAGGGGAGGGGGCTATTTATAGCCACAGCCCAATTTTTGCCCGTTATGCACAATAATTGAGGTTTTCGGATATTCCGAAAGATTTTCGGACATGTCCGAAAATTCCAGCTCAGCTCCAACAGCAAAGTCAACTAAAGATTTTTCGGACATTCCGAAAACTTTTCGGATAAGTCTGAAAATTTCCAGAAACAAAAACATCATTCTGGATGTTTTCGGACAAGTCCGAAAATACACAGAAACGATTTTGACTTTGCTGAAGATTTTCGGAAACTCCGAAAATCAATTTCGGAAAAGTCCAAAAATAAACAGAACCATATTTGCCTTCACAGTTAGTTTTGGAAAGTCCGAAAATGTCTTTTGGACATATCCAAAAATTTCAAGAAGCGAAAATTGTTTCTGTGCACTTTCGGAAAGTCCGAAAATGACTTTCGGAAAACTCCAAAAATTTCCAGAACACATCAAACTGAGGAGAAACACTTTTAAAAATTGATTTTGAGCACTGTGATCACTCCTCATATGTCAATGCATCATCCCTCTTAATAGTGCGGCATTCCTATTGACTCAAACAAAAAGAAAAGGTACAATATACCATTTGCTCATTTGCCGCATCACATCTCATCAACGTATTAGGCAGGAAATGCATTACGCTAACTCATTTAGGACCTAACAACCTTCACATTTGCTTAAAGAAAAATGTTAGTCCTCTCTAATCGCATTGTAATTAATCACCAAAATCATTAGGGGCCTAGATGCACTTTCACAATCTTTTGAGACTAATTAGTCTATGATTAGCCGTAAGTGCTACAGTAACCCACATGTGCTAATGACAGATTTATTAGGCTCAAAAGATTTATCTTGCGGTTTGCAGGCAAGTTATGAAATTAGTTTTTTCATTCGTGTCCGAAAAACCCTCCCCACATCCAATGAAACATCCGATGTGACACCCAAAAATTTTCTTTTCACGAACTAAACATGCCCTTATTAGAGGTGTTTCATAACTTGCTCCTTGATGAAACGGATCTATTGATGTTTCACCAATTGAAATTCAATGTTTCATTAGTGTAAATAAAATGTTTTAGTCGTAATTTGAATGTGTTTTAGCATTTTAATAGGGTGAAACATTTTTTTGGTAGCGGTGAAACAACATCTGATTTTTTTCAAAAAGAGTAAAATTCATGAAGGGTCATTAAACTTGTTTAAGTGTGTTATATAGGTCACTCTACTTTTAAAATACATATTTAGAGTCACTAATGTGAGGTAAGTGAGCTATCCACGCGAGCATACTTTGTGCACATGGCATGCCATGTAGGATTAAAAAAAATGCATTTGGATATATGTAGGAAATCCCCCTATGCATTGTGATTAAATCTGATTCATATATACTAATACCTAAAAAAAACTGACTCATACCATACGCAATAAACAAATCCCAAATGCAATTTTTTCAATCCTATATGGCATGCCATGTGTGCAAAGTATGCTCGCGTGGATTGTTAGATGGGTAAGTGACTCACTTACCTCACATTAGTGACCCAAATGTGTATTTTAAAAGTAGAGTGACCCATATGATACATTTAAACAAGTTTAATGACCCTCCATATATTTTACTCTTTAAAAAATATAGCGCCTGATTTGTAGATGCTTCCAAAAATTTCAGTAGGGAAAAAGAACTCCCCACGCGTAGGACCGACCGTGGGACCCACCTGTCATTGCGTGTTAGGCGAAAGCGATGCGCTTCTCCCTCTTCAATTCAATGGCGCGAAAAATTTCCATTTCACTTTCCAAAAAATCCCCCCCAAAATCTCCAAAAACCCTTCTCCAATCTTCGCGAGGAAGCCACCTCCCTCCTCGCCGCCGGCGATCGGCGATCGCCTCCGCCGGCGACGGCGATGGTGTTCCTGCAGCGCAAGCGCCCGCCTCAGCCTCCGCCGCCACCCTCCCCTCCGAACCCGCCGCCGCGTGCTCCGCGGGCCACGCGCACCGCCACCCCCGACGACGCCTCCTCCTCCTCCGCCGTCGACGACGCGGCGGCGCTGCTCGCGGAGGCCGGGTGCACGCTCCTCGTCCCGCTGCACCAGCCCCCGGCGCTCCCGTCCCCGCTCTCCTTCGCGCCGCGCCTCGCGCGGGCGCTCGCTGCCGCGGACGCCGCGCTCCGGGACCGTTTGCTTGCTGGGCTCGCGGCCTTCGCCGAGTCCCCCGCGCGGCTCCGCCAGCTGCTCCTCCCGACCTCCGCGGCGCACTCCCCCAGCCTCGCGCGGGCGCTCCTCTCCGTCCCCGCGCTGCAGCCGGGTCTCCTCGGTCTCCTCCTCGACAAGCTGCCCGAGCACTTCGACAACGTGCTCGACGGAATGCCCCTGCACGATGACGTTGGGAGGCTCATCGTCGCGCAGTTCCGGTGGCTCGATTTCCTCGTCGACGCTGACGCCTTTGTTGCCAAGCTTATGGAGGTTTTGTCGGTGGCGCCACCGCGGCTGAAGAAGGAGATCATTGGGTCGCTACCGGAGATCATAGGCGACCAGTGCCATGCCACCGTGGTTGCGGCGCTGGAGAAGCTGCTGCAGGAGGATTCGGAGGTCGTGGTTTCTGCGCTTGACGCTTTGTCTGACCTTAATTTGAGCGAGCAGTTACAGGAGCAGGTGATAATCACATGGATTTCATTTCATTCTGATTTGTGTTGTTGATATGGAGTGAATAATGCTAATTTCTCATGTGAATATGCTTGAAGGCTGTGACGGTTGCAATCTCTTGCATCCGGACAGTTCATGCGGACCAAATGCCGCACCTGCTCAGGTTCTTATTGTTGTCGGCCACGCCGTTCAATGCGGGGAGAATTATATCGCAGATCCGCAAGCAGCTGAAGTTTGTCAGTACGGTGGATCCACGGGCTGCTCGGGGTAAGAAGCTGAAAGGGAAGGCATCGGCCAACGGTACTGATGGGGCAATCCTTGATGCCTTGAGATCGGGCCTCCGTTTTAAGAATGTAGGTGATTTGACTCTTCAATTTATCTTTCAGCACAGTAGTGCACACTGTTTATGCAAGTTCCTTCAATGCTGGGTTTGTTGTGGATGCAGATGCTTTGTGAAGCTTTCTTGAAAGAGCTAAAATCAGTAGATAACCCGAGGGATCACAAGGTGATTGATGTGTGGCTCATCATGCTCATCTATGGTAATGGTGGTGCTCTACAGAAAAGTGCTGAGAAAATATTGAAATCCAAAATCTTACAATTGTGTATACGAGAGACACTGTTTGATCAATGCATTCGTGGGAATACTGAATTGGTAAAGGTCAGTTCTTCAGTATCTTGTGATGATTGCAGAGTAGTTATATATTTTTTCCGAGTTTGATTATCCATGCTGAATATGACATGATTGAACTTGACCCAGGACCATTTCGTGTCATACCTCTCAGTGAGTGATTTCCTATTGGCTTGCAAGGAAGAGAAAGCAAGAGAATTTGCAGCCTATTTGTTCACAGCATTGTTTGAAGAATTCAGTGATACATTTTCCAGGCAAGAGGTATCCTTTGGTTGCCTACACTTAATGCTTCTAATGTAGGCAAGAAATCATGTTTACCTTGTGATTCCATGCTAGTTGATCTAGTTGAATTATAGGTGGTAGATGGGTCCACTATCACTAGCTCGTGTTGTATCTAAAACTGTCTGTTCTATAAAGTCTATAGAGCATTGTCTGCCATTCATTTGGCAAAAGAAAGAAGTGGAAGAAAAGAGAACAAACAAATATTTATTTGGTTAATGCTATGGCATTCAGTGGCCAATGGTTGTGTAGATACTAATAGGAGCTTGAGTGAATGCAACTTGCACTGTCCAAGTGTGCAATTATCTTGCACAAGGATGACAATTGGAGTAAATACCAGGAATCACTCTTTGTCCAAACTATATGTGCTTTTGTGAATGTATGCAAACGAAAGTGTTGTACTCCGAAATTGCTTTCAAAGTTGCGGTTTTGTGAAAAATTTACCACCGGTAGCATATTTTTTTTTGTGAATTTTACTTTGATATTTTTGCAGTACCTTTAGCAGTTGAACTGTTAATCAGTTGCTAGTATTATTCTTTAGATCAGATAACCAAAAGGGCAGAGCCCCTTATTTTCTAACATTCTTACCACCTTTTGCAGCTCATAGGTTCGTTGATCGCTCATATAGGTTCTGGGGTTAGCCTCGAAGTTTCGTCTGCTCTGGATATTATGATTTCTCTGACCTCAGATAAGCCTGAGGAATTGATCCCTCTATCTTCACATATTACTGGTAGTGTACACAGTTCTATTTTGTTAGGTGCTTCTTTTTGCTGATTTATGTAAATTGTATTAACTGTTCAACATAGGCATATTGGATTACCTGGAGAGTTTTCATGAAGATAATCTCCGAAAGGTTTGTGATAGATTGTTGATTTCATTCTTCCAAATTGTCTCATCACAATGAGATAGCCTATAATTCATGAAATGAACCAGGTTTACGAGATCTTCTGTCATTTGGCACTGGCTGCGGGTTTCAATACTGGTTCAGGGGGCTCTTCTGTTGCTAATGAACTTCTAATGGTTGTGAGAAAGCAGGTTTGATAACAACTCTGTCATTTTCATTTTGATTTGTTGGCAAGAAGGCCTTGATTCAAATTTCTTATCTTTTGTTATTTTTGACATGATTACATCTGCATGTCACCTTGTAGGTTAGTAATCCAGATATGAAGTATAGGAGAATGGGAATAATTGGGGCTTTAAGGATAGTTTCGACTATTGCAGATGTGAATGCTTCTATGAACTGCTCATCATCTCAGGTTTGTTTGAGTATGATGAAAGTTAGGGGAAATATAACAGCCAAGTGCTTTTACTGTGATCTGACTTTCTGAGCATCTTGCAATACCTATATATGTGAACACCAGCATTTATGACAGCAGCACTAACAGAACAGATTGTTTTCAAAGTTACTTCCAATAACCTGACTGTCTTTTGCTGATACATCTGAAGACTGAAAAGTGATTTTTTTCCGAAGATTAAAAAGCGATACATTGTACATCATGACGCATCTTGTTGGACAATAAAGATTTCCTTAAAACACCAATATATTGGTTATTGCCTTATTAATCTAGGTTAATGTGTGTAACAATCACCAGGAACAGTAAACAAAACAATTCTGTTATGCAAGTAATACCATATATTTTACACATGCTGAATCTAAAGCATAAAAATAGCACACTTGCATATATCTCGATTATTTACAGGTTTTGCTTTTGATGTTGAACTGTAATTCCTAGTTTTACCATGCTACCTCTAATGTTGTTTTGTTTGGCAGCAACCAAATTATGATGAAGCCCTGGAACTTCTGAAAATGGCTGTTAACTCCTGCAAGTTTGTGATGTTGCCATTGATTCTTCTTTATGACGAATTAGCTGTTTTATTGGAGAACAGTAGTCTTCACTCCGCAATTGTTGAATGGTAGGTACAAAATGATTGCTGGTATATGTCAATAAAGATAAACATGTCTTCAATATTTGTTCATATGTCAAGTCAAAAAAAATATTTGTTCATGTCTTGGTTGTTCATTGAACATAAATAGTTTTTATTCTTAAAAAATGAACTGATAATTTCAGGGTCGGGGAACATGTCGCAGAATTTGACACCGTTTTTCTTGCTGATCTTGACGATGGCGAGCTGTCAAAAAAATATGTATGTGATGGCATAGAAGGTAAGTTAGCACTTTAGTAGTTGTTATTGCATCATGGATATGATATCTTTTAGACACAGAATTTAAATTCTAAGAGTAGACGCTTGAGTGTAATTGATGACATCTTGTTCTCAGGGGAATTATGGATGAACCTGGATGGAAATATCTCCCCAGTGTGTGTAAACATTATTCCTCTAGTCTCCACCTCGCCACAAATGTATAGTTTTTCTGTTAATAATCATTATTTGGTTGCTTATAGTCTGAATGTCATCTGTACTTGTTTGCTTTACAAATGCTATGTGCGTTCATTGCAGGTTTCAGACCTGTTTGCAGATTCTCCCTTCCCAATTTTCACTTCTAACTATTGTGAGTGCCATAGCCTTGTCAATCTGGCATTTCTTCTTAATGGACAAACTAATGGTTGTCTTGTTTTGCATCATAGATTGAACGTCTTGGAAATCAAGGCTCACTTGGTGGAATAAATGCTGTACTTGGCTGTCCTTTGCATCTTCCCTCTACAAAGGTTATAAAAATAGTTCTAGAAACTTAAAGTGATATCACCATCTAGTTAAACTACTTTTTAATCTTACCTGTCTTTCACTCAAACATCATGATAGACGTATTGAATATTATTTTGTGATCTGCCTTTCGCATGCCATAAACAAGCAAGGTGATGCCAGTAAATACCTGGGTTTTATAAATCTACTCTTAATATATTATGCAAGTGTTTCTATTGTAATTTACAATTTAAAGGGTGATATAATCAGTCTCAAATTTAAGAAATATCAGTGTGAAAATTATGAAGTCACATGATTTCAGTTTCTACTGGCAATCTTTCATTTATAGGATTTCTGTTGTAGGTATTTAATGTTTACCAAATGATTGGCAGCAGATCTCTACGCATTGTTTCTCTTATCAAATATACTATCATACACATTTCTCATTAGTTTCTTACAAAAGTAGCAGTGCTTTTACCACTTTGTTAATGCCATTTATTTAACATTATGAAACTTCAAATTTATTTGTGACGCTATTCCAAAGATGTCCATCAATGATTGTGTAAAGGAATTAATCCTGGTTTGGGCAACCAACAGTACCTCGATGGAGCTAGATGGGGAAGCTTGTCAGCAATGCAGAAAAAAACAGTGTGCCATTCACTGTACTATGCAATAAATTGGATCAGGGAGCTGGTATGTCTTATATTTTTATTTTATTCATAGCAATTTTCAGATTGCACAATATATCTATGTCTAAAATTGGTGGCACCCATGACAGCTCAATGCTTTCAGCACACAAGTTGCAACTAGGGTTGATAATGTTTCACAAAGGGCAAGGAATGAGACAGCTGTCAAACTTCTGATGCGTCTGAGAAATCTAATGTGAGTGTATAATCAGTATTATTATGGTTGATTGATGAATACAGAACACATCTATACCTGGGATAGAATGACCAAGTCCTAATTCTTTGCATGTTACTTGTGACCAACCACCATCCATGCGCAGAAAATTTTGCCCTATTCCTTATAGACTTGTGATTTACGACTCAACGAATACATGACAGTGAATTTCCATCACGGTTCTTTGTTCAGTTAGTAAATACTGCTAACCCCGAGAACCCACAATTGATTTTAACTTCCCTTTTATTGATTTGGTTACCACCTGTTTGCATGGGAAATGTGGATGTTGCTGGTATTACAGCAAAAGGAAAAGGTTGTACTTTGCTTTTGTAATTGTAGAGTTTACCTGACTATATAAATTTGCCAAATGCAGATTACTTGAGGGCTTGTTGAATGCTTATCTCAAAATTCATCCTTTATCTCTGCCTGATCTGCGCTATGTTGGAGATCATGGGTCAACTAGCACCAGCAAGTTCAACCTCCCAAAAAACATGGGAGACCAAAACATGGAGGGTAATGTTTCCAACAAAAGACAAAAAGGCCATAAGGACAAAGCATCATCAGAGAAATCAAATTCTGACGAGAAATTTAAGCAACCTACGATACTGGATGCTTTCAAAAGAGCAGGCGTAACTATTAGTCAAGAAACAAACAGAGATTCTCAACCATCGCCAAGTGGAATGATGTCAAGGGTTACGGAACATGAGACAAATAATCCTTGCAAATTTGGGATTGTAGATCTAATGGCTGCACCAGCTCAGCTGGATATGCAAAGATTCAAATTCAGAACTCTACATGCAACTTGTCTATCCTTGCTAAACTACTCAGAGGTATGCCATTGTTCAGATTGACTTTGATTTTGTAGATCAGAAATCTGTTCTTTCATAGTTTATTATTATATCATTACAAGTTGCTTACAAAGAATAAAAACTTATAAGCTGTTTCATTGCATCAAATGGTGATTTTTGTTTCATTTGGCAGCCTCAGGATACAACAGTTTCATACAATGAATCTGAGGTACGACTTGATTTCAACTACATAAATCAGCTATTTGAATATGGTGAAATTGTTAAGACTGACTCTTTTTGTCACCCAGATGCCTCTATATGTTTATTTGCTCCGTGAACTTCAGAACAAACTAGACAATCTATATCCTTCAAGCAAGCCATTTTTCAGTTCTTCTCAAGGGAAATCTACCCAAGCTTATTGCCAAAAGAGCATGGAAGAATTTCTCAACAAAATCCAGCCACTATTCTCAAGTGTAAGAAAGCATCTAGATGGAGCAGTTTCCATGATCAAAGATGGTAAGGTTTTATAAACAATTTTCTGCTCCTAGTTCTTCTACAATGTGGAGCGTATTAGTATACCGCAGCATCTCCTTTCTACTCTTTTGATCATGAGCATAATGGGCTGCAATTACTACCTTGAAGGATCTGACAGCTGCCCAGACAATTGGAATTCACATTCAGCTTCAGCAGGAAACCCAGACATACCTTATGTGGTGGTCTTGAAGTCTTCAGTAGCAACCTCAGTATTTAAGGAGGTTCTCGGCTGCTATAGGAAGGTAGTAATATGAATATTATGTCTCTTACTTCCAAAGGTTAAAAGCTAGAGACTCAAATTGCTTTCTGCTCAGTGTTCTAAAAAGTCGGCGCTAGACACCGCCTAGGTTCCTATTAGGCATTAGATGGTGCATTAAGTGGCTAACCTACCTTGGGTGGTGTTTTGTTGCTGTTTTTAGTGTTATATTGTCCCACTTTTAAGTAATATGCTTACTAATTTCTTGGGTTTAGCTAGTTGGTTTGGCCTAGGCGCCGCTGCCCCCTAGGTGCTAGGCACCAGTCTTGCTGAGTGCTGACCCTCTAGCATCTAACACCTTAAACCATGAAATTTTTTTTTTGACCTTGAATACTGCCAGGGCTTTGCCCAGCAGTGTGATTTCATTAAAAGAGAAATATTTACAAGAGTTTAATTACAACAAGAACCCTGGAATCTATAAAGTTTGTAACCAATCAAAAACAGATTGCTTCAGATTTCTTGAACCATGAAATTGCTAATGTTAACATGTGTGATATCTCCTGCAGTTACTTGGCATTCCAGATCTATTGAATCAAGCAAATATATCAGTTCTGAAGGAACTACTGCAGACCTTCCAGCCAAGTGAAAATTTCGATGAAGTCCTTGCTGAGTTTCGTCCATCTCTTGTCCCTAGCAATCTTGATTACCTTTACTGTGGGGCATACACAATGTTTGCGGCTATTTTGGATATTGGTAATTAGCAGTTACAATGTGTTCCCTATGTTTTAGAAGATTGTGTTACTTTTCACCTCATTTCCACTGTTCTAACCTTACTGCAGTGTGCTCATTCTCATACCTTTTGGCTTACGATGTGTTGATTACCATGCAATCAGTTTTAAATTCCGTTATCATGCTGTTTGAAAAATCTGGGGAACAAAATGGGAAGAACTTGCACATGGGATGCTCAAAAGAGATAATTCCTTTTTTACGAAAACACCTGGGGCTATCAGCTCGTAAGCTGCTAACCTCTGATCTCCCTAGTGAAGATGCTGAAAATGGATGGCAGAGTAAAGTAAGCTAAAACACATAGTACCTCATTGGTGCTTATACGCATGTAGATGTTGATTTGTTCCTAAAATTTCTGCTGGATATTGTCTGCCAGGGTGATCTCATACAGAAGATATTACAAATATACCTCAAGAATAGTGACTCCACTTCAGATCTGCTTGATGAGCTGGCTTGCTCAGTGTTGCCTAAGGTGTCTCATCTTGACTTCTTGAGTGAAACAATCACAGAAATATGAGTTCACAGAAAAAAAAATGCAATTAAAAGATTCTTCTATTCATATTATGAGGCTCCTTATGAGCATGCCTTTTCATATTTGAAGGTTCCTTCATTCAAGACTGGAAGCACCCAAGATATGTCACATGGTTTTCCAACATTGTGCGCTTCCACTATCCTCTCCTGGTATCGTGTGGTAGTAAGTATCTGGCATTCAGTGAATTTATGAACAGTCCCACTCTTCTGTTTTTTCTTAACATTTTGGTTTACCAATGCAGCACGAAGAGAATACTGGAAATTTAAACAAGATGGTGGGTTTTTGAGTTTAGCATATGCACTGAATACTAATGCTGTTTTTTTAAATCAAAAGATAGCACTGTGCCATGATCTTTATGAGGTCCTGAACCTTAGGCTCTTAATGGTTGTTCTAATTATTTTCCTCTTTTCTAGATCAAGCAAGCCTTGAAGACTAAAGCACAATCAGAAAGAGCAGTGGAAACTTCACTGGAAGAAATTCAGAAATCAGTACTTGTGTTTGTTTCTCTAATAAACATGTGCAAGACTCACGAAAAGGTTAGTTTTGTTGAAATCACTAATGCTGAACACCTGAATTATAATATAATCACCTGATGCATTTACACATGTACATATTGTTCATGCATGATGTAGCTGGTTGAACCTTACATCGATCACAAACTGTAGGTTGTTATGCATGCAATGGCAGTTAAACATGGGGGAAGATTTGTCGATACATTTCTGAAAGGTGAGGAGCTGTGGATTGATAACTTTGCTATGTGGGCCAATATATAACAAGCCATTAATGCTTAGCTTACCTGTGGTGCTGCCTTTTGATTATTAAATTTTTGATTTGATCACTGTTTCATTCGTTGCAGCCTTCAACTTCTTGGAGACACATTTCGGTCAACATAATGATATTATACTTCAGATGGTAATTTCTGTCGATTATTTTCCTTATTTCGTTCTTCTGTGGCTGCTGCTTATCCCACCAAACTGGAATGGCTTTTTTATGTTCCCTGAATCCTGATTACTTTCATTGATACAGATAAAATCACTTCAGAAAGCTACAAAAACAATCCAAACCATATGTGCAGAGGCTAAGGTGGAACCACCTCTCTCGTAAACGATGTTCATCACAGAGACTTATTTTCTTTGTCTTCCATGCTTAAGAATGGCATGTCAATCTTGTATAGGGCCACAAGCGAACAATGATCACAAGCAAGATACCTGTTGCGAAGAGATCCCTGGAGCGTTTCGTATTCCAAGTGAAGGCGCTCCTACACAACTGCTCTACCGAGGAGACTTTCTGGATGGGTACATACATACTCTGCACCCCCAATTTCTGTTCCTGGCAACGTCGAGAGATATACATAGATGGTCGCCATTGTTGCTCTAATTTGCTAAACCGTTGTATGACAGGCAATCTGAGGCATAAGGACTTACAGGGTCAATTGGTGAGCTCCCAGGTCTACGGCAGCGTCGATGACAGCCCGAACGATGAGCAAGAACAGATGGAGACTGATCCTGAAACCCCAGCTGACGAAAACGCCAACGCCATGGACGAAGATGCGGCAGAAGACAGCAACGAGGCACCATTGGAGGAATAGAATAGCATAGCAGCATCAGCATACATACATAACCAACCAATCAATCAAAATCTGTGAATATCTCTCTTCTCCTAACCTGACACAATTTTGCCCCAAAATCACTCTGTTTAGCATGTGCCAATGCAATGAAATGCGTAGCCTCCCCTCCCATAGGAAATTGAGATGGATCAGTCTCAAATTGTACAGATTACAGAACAGAAATATCTCAGATTGTGGAAATGAAGGTCACAGTCTCACTCGTTGCAGAGAAACATCAACATGTGTCTGAAACTCTGAATCATAACTGTATTATAGATTGCCAAGATAACATCTCATCTCACAGAAATTAGCTCACATAGAAAGCAAGGAATCTGTCATATTTCTTAGCCAAGAACCACATGAACAGACAAGAAGGCACACACACGGAAGACGACTGAAGGCAGCGGCGGCGGGGGGATCAGATGGTCTTGGCCAGCGCGGCGGCGGAGGCGGCGGAGAGGTCCGCGAGGAGAGGCTCGTTGGCGGCGGCGCCGGCGGCGGTGGGCTCGTCGGGGTCGTAGTTGGGGTCGAGGGCGCGGTCCATGGCGCGGCGGCCGGAGTCGAGGCAGGGCTTGCAGGCCATCTCGATGGTGATCCAGCCCAGCACCACCGCCGCGATGGCTATCACCGCCGTCACCACCGCCCCCATCCGATCTCCTCGCCGCCGGCGACAGCTGGCTTCTTCTCCGTCTCCGGCGAGGGGAAAGCGTGGGCGGATCTGGAGGTGGTTGCCGGCCCAAGTAATGGACAAGCTGATGGTCGCGGCAATTTTTCGTTGGTTGGGTTGCTCGAGTCGAGTGCTCCAGGTGTCGGGGGACGTTGGTGTGGGGCCGACCTGGCAGTGGGTGGCCCACTATCAGTCAGGGTAGCAAAACTTCAGAAGAATGTAGGGAGCTAGTTGGGCTGGGATGGGATGGGCCTAAGCCAGACTTATGGCCCATTACCAATTTCAGTTCTCAGCGCATGAAAAATAAGTCCTTTTGTTTTTTCTTCTTTTTTTTTTGACCTCCTTAGCTGATCCCAGCTGAATTAATTCCCCTCTAATGTGATCCATATTCATGATTCTCTAGCAATACTTCATCGGTTTGCATTGAGGAAGCAGTGGCCACCATCTTCATCAAATCTGGTGTCCATATCTAGTCCTTTTGTTTTCGTTAGTATCAGATGAGATGAACTGACCGTGATCTAGGGTGGTAATAGATCATGTCCATGGATTTTTCTGCATAGTCTTTAAATATTTTTAGGCTAAAAATAAATAAAAGTCAAATTCACTCTATTTTAAATCTAGACCTTAAATTTTATAGGCTAAAATGTTATGCCATGTATTATCCTAACCGTGCAATTGTGGATCTTATAGGTATTTTTTTTCTTAAACACGAAACAATCATACGCACATATACCACTATATTTATATGTCTGCATTGAATTTTTTTACCTCTTTTTTTTAAAAAAAAAAAACTAGATGGAGAGGATGCATATGCACGTACATACATGTACCGTGACAACATATGCTAAACGAAACGACGAAGGACAGCAGGAAATCGTTAACCTTATTAACCTTCAGTTAAAAGCTCTCCACCACGCGCGCGTGTATTATTCATCGGTAGCAAGTTTTTTTTTCATGCGCTATATATCCAAATTGCAAAGCAGATAGCTCTGCTGCATTAGAGCAAGTTTAATACTAGTATAGTCAACCACTAGCTCTAAATTATCTATAATTAATTTAATAGTTAATTCATACTATAGTTATCTATAAATACAAACTACACAATTAAGACATAATCCCACATATCATACACACATGTATCTTATAATCCGTGCAGCAGCTGGCTACAGATCTGTAGCCCGTTGCTCTTCTATCTTCTCTCTTTATCTCCTCGAAATATGTTTATAGCTCTCTTATCTTCTCGAAATGTGTTTATAGCTGGCTTATAGCTAGTCTGCTATTGTATTTGCTCTTATAGGAATGTTGATTTATACTCATCTCCGGCTTGATTGAATGAATTAGCTAATAGCACTGTTATCTACTCCCTCCATCTACTTTTGATAGTCATATTTCATCTTGTCACACAGACCAAGGATAAGTAATTCTACTTATCATCCATTTAAACATGATACTAGTTATTTCTCGTAAATAAGCGATTCATTAATATTTTTGTTTCTCGATGCTCATGTAGCCAATCTTGTTTGGAAAAATAGAGAGTCATGCAATAAATCCGAGAAAGTCATTAAGATGATAGGTTATGCCTATTAAAATAAAAATTTCAGATTTGAAAATATAACTATCAAAAGTAGATGGAGGGAGTACTACGTAACCATTGTAGTAGCTCTCGAGGCTACCTGCTGAGTCTCATCTACATAGTTTTAATTTAGCCCTTTAGAGATAAGATCATTCGTGACGAGGTACTCTCTCTGTCCACACATATATATATATATATATATATATATATATATATATATATATAACAAATATTGGCTTAATCCTTTATCCAAATATATAAAAGATTTTATAATCTCGAGATAATATTTTATCTTTTATCCATCAACTCATGCAATAGTTTGATCCCTACCTAACAAGTTTGGTACTAGTTTATTTCTCTAACCTTTACTTTCTATACTTGTTTATTTCCTCAACCATCATCTTTTGTACTATGATTTGGCCCTCTTCTACTTTTTTAAGTTATTCTCAAGATGGTATAATCCCTTATATTCAATAGGGATATAAGCTAGCAGGGCAGATAAGCGGGATAAACAAGTTTTTATATAGATAATGAGCTCGTTCATTTACCTCCGTAATATTTAAGGGCAGAGGAAGTATTTATCCGTACGTCATAAATAGTGTCCATCCGAACTTCAAACTTAAACCAGTTGATCTGCTGCATGTTTGATCTCTGACTCTCCGAATATCTCTGTCTGCATGCGCCGTGATGCCAGCAATGACGTGGCTAATTAATTAACTTCGACCCGTGGTCAGCTCAGCTGACGCGACGCATGCATCGATCGAGTACTCCATGGACATTTGATTAATTTGCTCACGCTTGCATTGCCTTTTAATTTGCTGAATGGATCGATCAATCGATAAGCATATGGATGCAAAAGGAAGAAGATATTTCTTTCTTTGCTTAATTTCTTCTCCGATATATTATAGTATATATATTCCATTTTGCATCATTTATTCGTGCGTGCCACACGTGAACATGTACATACACATGCTAACTAATTAATTAATTAGGGCAATAATTAATGGTACTAGATTTGATTAGTACGACATAAAACTGCCACCATCACTCCATCACATTGGTCCAGCTGATGATAAATGTGTTGCACACCTATACACGCTCTGCATATATATGCATTGATCTTATCTGCAAAAGTGATCGATACGCTGACGATGCATATATATATATATATATATATATATATATATATATATATATATATATATATGTGCACAGAAGAGTTAGTACAGTAATCCCTCGTCCCATAATATAAGGGATTTTGAGTTTTTGTTTGCACTGTTTGATCACTCGTCTTATTAAAAAAAATTTAGAATTATTATTTATTTTTTTGACTTACTTTATTATCCAAAGTACTTTAAACACAACTTTTTGTTTTTTATAATATTTGCACAAATTTTTTTTGAATAAGATGGGTGGTCAAACAATACGAACAAAAACTCAAAATCCCTAATATTATGGGACGGAGTAGCAGTACCTAACATTACGCACAATGAACCACACTCAAAATATCCCTCTTTGAAATGTTACATTGATCAATTCTCTCTTTCCCCAAACAAAAAGAAATAGTATATCAAGAAAGTATATGTCCAGCTTAATTAATTATTGATTAGTTTTATCTCATCGTATAATCCGATCAAAACTGTCTCTGCTTAATTTATAGATAGATAGTACTCAGATAGGATCAGCGTACGCAAGTTCGTACTGAATTAGATCTCTGAACTACCCTTCCAACTCCATCAGGACGTCAGGTCCTGCATGCATTGCTTGTAATGCATGCCATGGATAAGAAAGATAATTATATATTACTGTACAGATCATTAATCTTCAGGGCCTAATTAATTATTTGATCATTAAACATTTTGAGATAATCAATATTACTTTGAATGATGCTAGTGGTGGTGTTCGAGTCTGCCTCCAACGTCACAAGCTGACATGTGGAATCATAATTAAGGTGCTCACATATAAATTTTTTTTACTTTGATATGACATATGTCTAATCAACTATGCTATAAATCTATACTTTTTTCTTTTGCTTTTATCTCTTATAATATCTATTGCAACCACTAGTCTTTTGCTAGTATATATAAAAGAAAAATCCAAAGTACGTAGTACAACTATAGCTAGGTGACTTAGAGCATCTCCAACAGTCTCTCCAAATTTGACTTTCCAAATGTCTATTTGGTCAACTCTCCATTTAATTTAGCAAGTCAAACTGTTTTTTACTCCAACAGCCTGTCCATTCGTCCTCTCTATTCTGAGTGTATGACAATTGGACCCACATATCAGCCTCTACACCTTCTTCTTCTCCCTCATCTTTCTCACCTTCTCTCCAAACCCCCTTCCCTCTCCCATCCGCCGCCGCCGCTCCATCCCCACCCCCACCGCCGCTCTGGCTGCATCCCCATCCACCGCAGCTGCTGCCGCCGCTCTGGCTCCGCCCGCCGGTGCCGCTCTCTTCGCCGGCGGTGGTGCGGCGACGCGAGGAGGCGGGCGGCCGCACGCGGTGGTGCGGCGACGTGGGGAGGCGGGAGGCGAGACGCCGGCGGCTCGCGACGACGACCCGAGGCAACGACGACCTCGACGCCGCTCGGGGTGGAGCTCGGCGGCGGCGACTCGCGACGACCTCGACGGCGGATCTAGAGGGGGGCGGCAGCGGAGCTCGGGGCGGAACTCGGCGGTGGCGGTGGCGGTGGCCGGCTGCGACGACGACGGGGCGACGACGCCCTTGTCACAGGTGCGTGCCGCACTGCCACGTGGAGAGAGAGAGGGGGAAACAGGCGTGGGTCCCACATATGGCTAGCCGGCTTTGGTTGGCCAACTTTGGCTAGTCTGGTGGGGAATTTAGCCAGCCGGATGATTTGGAGAGGCATTTGGCTAGTCTGTTGGAGTAGATTTTTTGTGCAAGTTAGCCAAATTTTAACTTGGAGAGCCATTTGGCTAGGCTCTTGGAGATGCTCTTAGGTTGTGTTCAAAACTAAGGGATCCAGGCTTCTCTCGTATTTCATGCGCACGTTTTTTAAATTGTTAAATGGTGTGTCTTTTTATAATTTTTAGAAAAGAAAGTTACTTGAAAAGAATCAAATTAATTTATTTTTAGTTTTTATGTAACACTTAATTAACATACGCTGAGTTATCTTGTTTTCGTGCGAGAAGAAAAAGTTCCCAACTCCTCCCGAACACAACTTAAAACATTCATGGATATATAGTAGCTCCTTAATTAGATATGTGATCAACCTTTCTGGCATGAAAGTATATTATCTCCATACAATTCGCACATGAATATACACCTAAGTAGCCTAACTAGGTCGACAGTTCATGTGGCTCCGAGCCTCTGATCAATCATGTGAGTTTGTCTGCATGCATGTTTTGATGATCTAGTTCTAAAAATATTTTTTTTTAAAAAAGGATCTAGCTCTAGCTAAAATATGTGTAACCACAAACATATATGTAGCTAGCAATGCATGCATGCATCTTTCTAGTTTCTAGAGAGTAGCAGAACATGCAGGCATGAAGATCACATATGCAGGTAGGTCTAAAAGTCTAAATTAAACCATGGGTTCAGAAGAGGTGCAGCACCTGGTTTTCCATGCTATCCCATCGTCGTCAGCAATGACAACACAACATATATACAGTATACTAATAGCAATATATGCAAATTTATAGGACTTATTCATTTTGCTACCATTTTTAACCTTATCAAGTTTTAGCATTGTCAAATTTTGATAAGGTTGTCAAATTTTGACAACCAAAATTTTGGCAAGGTTACCAAATTTTAGCAAGATTTCATATGTACTTACTAAAATTGGCAACAAACTAAATGTAGCTAAAATTTTAACAACTTTACTTAAAAATTGATATGGTTAAAAATGTCATGAAAGTTAACAGACCAATACTCTCCAAAGTCCCCGGTGCATGCAAGCATGATGGAATCATGGAATAGATCAGTAGCTAGCCAAAATTAATTAAACTGCTTGTATGCATGCATGCACTCACAGTCACAGCAAGACAAAATACATATATTAATTATATGGAGTAAGTGTTTACACGTGTGACTATCACAAGACCTATGCATGTATCACACCTTTGGCACCCGATTGTTCGACTGTTCTAGTTAAAGGTGACAATGAAGACCCGTTTAGTCCAAACCCGGGCGGTGGCTAATTATCTATGGGATTTGTCGACAGTTTTCTTTATATTTTTCTCAAATATAGACATATATGATATTAATGAATCTAGACATATATATCTATCTAGATTTATTAACATCAATATGAATATAGAAAATGCTAAAATGACTTACATTGTGAAACGGAGAAAATATAGTATAACAACTACAATGTAGTTACATTGAAGGTATATTATAATTTCTATGTAACTACATATTAAATCCCTCTATTTTCTTACAAACTTTAGACCATTGAATCGCTTTAAGATTCGTGCAAATTAACTCCACCTCCTATGTTGTTGTTGTTGTTGTTGTTGTTGTTGTTGTTGTTGTTGTTGTTGTTGTTGTTGTTGTTGTTGTTGTTGTTGTTGTTGTTGTTGTTGTAGAACTCAACCCTTTCGAACTCTCATTTTCTTCCGCTATCTCGTTGTGCCATTCAATCGGCTCGCTAGCAACATCTCCCTCTATTGTGTTGTCCTCAAGCTTAGGGGCCATTGGAGGATGTAACCCCGAGTTTGAGGCTTTAAGCATGACGTCCAATGTTTCCTTTTCATCATTGATGGTTAAAAACTACTAAGCCGTTACTGATGCCAATGTCAGTGAAAGGTGTTGAACAACGTTTGAGATAACTCCTAGTTACTAACTACGGACCAACTCACATTGTTTGTTCCCTCACATATATATTTTCTTTGTCCTATTAAAGTCAACTTCGGACTATAAATATGAACATAGTCTATGTATAGATTCGTAGGAAGAAGTCATTTTTTTTGGGACGGAAGAGTAGCGGTGTCATTTTTCGACGGTCACAAATGGCATGTATTGTAGAAAAGAATATATATGTTTCTCTTTTTCTTGAAGAATAAATATGCTCCTTATTTTTACTATTCTAATAGTGCATGTTCTGTCAGATTTAGTCAAGAAAAAGATGTCAACATATGTTTCTCATGTGGCTCCGGCATGTAGCGCAGGTGCATGGTACACCATATATATATATATATATATATATATATATATATATATTATGTGCAGTCGGCAGATCAATCCAAAAAACACACACCGAAGTACCCAACTGATTTGCTTTGACATTTGGGTGTGCTCACGAACAATAATAAAACAACCGGAAATCCCTACCGGTTCGTGAATTATAACACCGAACATATTATACCATGTTATTTTAGTTACCAGTTATATACCGAACATTACGACACAGTTATCAACTCTGTTTGATTGTCAGGTTATCAGCCATAATTTACCACCATTTATCGATAAATAGGTAAATAAGTAACTATGTTTCGTAATGGGAGTAAATAGCTAGGTAACTACTCACTCTGTCTCAAAATAAATTTATCTTTGTCTTCTTTTATTTATCTCAAAATAAATTTATTCTTGTACCGTTGCATCAAAGTTTGTGAAGCATGGAAGATACCTAAGACTAGATTAAATGAGAGACAATTAATTTAAAATTTAATAACATGAAAGTATTTTTGTTTTTCTATATTTAATATACGTGGGTGTTGATAAAAAATAAATTTATCTTAGGTAGTAAACTCATAACTAATGCATGGAACTAACAACCGGCAAAAGTACAATAACATTAGCTAATTAATTAAAAGCATGTACTCTATCTCTTTTCTTAATTTGCTCAATTAGTTAAGTCGATATATCAATGTCGAGCTAGGTTTAGTGTGGGCTAGCTCAGCTGCACACCCACATCAAGTCGCATTTGTCGGTAAAGACATTTAATTAGCTAAAGCATACACGATCCCGTTGTTGAATTGGTTGGCGTAGCTAAATTTTGGTCGACTAGATCATATATATCTCATTCTATCCACCGACTATATATGCGTGTTATCGATAACCATCGACATATGTTTTATATTGCTTAATAAAATACTTATTTCAAAATTTGGTCACATAAATAAGTATGCGACTTACTACTCTTTTTGTTCTCAAAATATAAAAATATAAGCACTTCGACCATATAAAATTTAAAATGTGTATCGAATATAAGCAATTTTAGAGCACTATACCTGCTTGTCTGGCTCGTTAAACACCATTCGTTCAATTTTCTTTTCACATTATCTCTAATAGTTTCTTATTTAATGAGAGGTATACGGCATCATACATATAGTCTTTTCTACTCAATTTAATTTTTGCTAAAAATCTATAGAAATACATATATTTTGAAACGGAAGAGGTATGTCAAATGCACTTAAAATTAACTTTGATTAGAAATTATTTCTTTAAATATTTTGATTGAGCCTTCGAAAACGCATAACACAAGTTTGTCTTAGAAAATAGTTTGAAACTATATTATACTTTTTTCATAAATTTTGCATGAGCTGTATACTAGTAGTTAATAATTAATCTAGTGTCATATACATATTACACTTTCTTATTTGTGATAACAATTAACCACCATTAATTTTCCCAAAAAGAAAAGGACCAGAAAATAAATGTCAGATACTACTTAAAAAGTCAGCACTAGTACTATTGCTAATTAATCTACTACATTGGCTTTCTATTAGATATATATAATAAAGCGTGTATAAATCGTTAAGACCGATTATCATCCATATGAGTCGCGTGGGTGTGTTATAAAAAAGAAGAAGAAAGAAACATCAATTTTTACGCGTGCATCATGCATGTCGCTAATTAACATATGGTTGTTTACTTGATTACGAAAAGCGAATTCAATTGACCACAGTACTACATATCCGGTTCCAATTCTTACAATTAATGTACTAGACGATTTTAACAGACCTCCTAACCAATTTGATTTTGGTCAGTTTTGACTTGTGAAGGACATTTTGGTCAGATATTATATGAAATTAAGCAAATGTTTGTAGTTTAAATATGTGTAGCCTAGACAATGTACTAACTAGTAATTAATAAGTAATTGCATTGTCTAATTGAGTATTATCTAAATAAGTACTAAACAGGAAGAGTACTTCTTAATTATAATGATATTTGTTTTGTGAGGATAATAATAATGACGATGATGTTGATGAATACTCCCTCCTACAAATAAAAGATTTTCTAGCATTTAAAATTTATTGAAAAAAGCTTCTAGAGCACTACTGCCACAATCCAACCATTTTATCGTCATTCATATTTATCGTTTTACTATTATTTAACGTTAATCTCTTTCAAAGCAAACTTTTAAGGATGTTAAAGTAATTTCACATTAACCTTATAAGGCCAGGTTCACCAAAGATGAAGATGACAATATTTTTCAACACACATAAAACGAGATAAACCATTAATGTATGATAAGTCAAGTACTAATTATTATAAACTTAAAAAATAAATTTATCTGATATTTTAAAGCAACATCTACATACATAGTTTCCGTACGAAACACACCATTTCGTAGTTTGAAAAAACATGCTAATAAAAATTGTGATAAAATTTACATCTTAATTAAAAAAGAACGGAGCCTCAAACCCTTAGAAGTACTTATATATGTGGAGGTAGGAGGAAATAACAATCAACCTCCTCATTATCTTAAAAGAAAAACATGAACCTCTAGGCTTGAAGTCGCTCTCACGAGTCACGACCACCACTTTGATAGTACTTGGAGTAGGACAGACCACACTGTCACTCTGTCAGCACAAACACACACAACATGTTGACACATTAGCTACCTTAATTTTCTTAACATTAATTGTACATGTTTGCAACAATCCGACAACCAGCAAAGTCAGCCTAAAATATGATAAAAAAATTATTAAGATGACAAAATACTGTCTACATATACTTGTACAGAAATATACGTATATATATACAACAAAATATGTATGATATATAAATCTTTTCCTGTACATATATGATATATATACACAATCTGAAGATACAGTAAAAGGTATACATGCATATACACACACGCGGTCGTTGTCTGCACTAATTAAAAATCAGTAGTGCATGACCGCTAAACTATTTCAACTCCCTAGCTAATTAACTAATAATTCACTGCTGTTAATTCTTTTTACTGTTGCGTTCTACTAGTAAAAAAATTAAGCAACTCTGTAATTTGATTTTTCACTGGCTAATTAATTTGAGCTAAGCTTGTCGCTGCAGCTCGTTGGCGCCAATGAAGGTGCCGTGCAATCCGTACGGCACGCGCCCCGGCAGCTTCACGGCCGCGACCTCCTCCATCGCCTCGCTGCCGGCGTCCACCACCACCAGCTCCGACGTGCCGCGCTCCTCGTCGTGGACGAAGCACAGCACGTGGCCGTCGTCCTCCGCCGCGGCGCCGGCGCGCGGAACGAAGCATGGCTCGCCGCCGTACCTCCCCTCGCCGTAGATGAACTTCTCCGCCGTGCCGCTCTCGAGGTCCACCTTGGCGAAGCCCGACACCCTCGGCCATGGCTCGGCGATGGCGAGGTAGGCGTACCGCGTCTTCCGGCCGAGCAGCTGCCGGTTCACCATGCCGGCCTCGAGGTTCACCTGCTCGGCGGCGTCGCGCAGCACGTCGCGCCGCCGCGACACGCCGGTGCGCGGGTCGAGGCGGATCTCGGAGAGCACGCTGCGGAAGCTCTCCTCCTCCGGCGACTGCGACGGCTCGTTGAACACGGCGTCCGGCGGCGTCATGCAGGAGCCGATGACCACGATCTCGCCGGTGGCGTCGTCCTCCCACGCGTTCCAGAGGTGGAAGCAGAAGCAGCCGGGGACCTCCACCCACCGGAGCTCCGACGCGTCGGCGGCGCGCTTCGGGAGCACGCCGAACCGCGACGCCTTCTCCCTGTCGTATACCACCGGCGAGCCGCCGCGCACCATCTCCTGGAGCTTGAACACGATCTGCTGGTCGGGGACGACGGCATAGTTCTCGGTGACGGCGAAGTCGTGGATCATCGTCGGCGCGCCGACGGGGATGTCGACGTCTCGGGACTTGCGGCCGTCGGCGGTGAAGTAGAAGTACTTGAGGTACGGCTTGGACACGACATTGTAGCTGAGCGCGAAGAGCTCGCCGGTGACCGGGTCGAGCTTGGGGTGCGCGATCATGGTGCCGTCGGCGTCGAGCTGCCCATGGAAGTCGTACCTCCCGACGGTCTCGAGGTCGCCGTCGTGGGTGACACGGACGTGGTAGGGGAGGTCGTCCTCGGACATGGCGAGGAGGCGGCCGTCGTGGTAGACGAGGCCGGCGTTGGCGACGCCGATGCCCCGGGACGCGTCGAGCACGCCGCAGAGCGCGCGCGAGCCGAACAGCAGAAGCCGCGCGACGCCGGAGTGGCCGTGGAGCTCGCCGATGGCCTTGGGGAACACGGGGCGTCCCATCTCCCGCTCCTGCCGCAGCCGCGCCGTCTCCGTGAACCGGCACGCGTACGACTCGGCGCGCCCCCCGGCGAGCCGCACGGCGTGCAGCATCCCGTCGCCGTCGAACAGGTGGTGCCCGGCGCGCGGCGCGTGGAGCGGGTTGGCGCCGTTGCGGACGTACACCCCGTCGAGGCACGCCGGGAGGCGGCCGGACACCGGCAGCCCCCTCACCGGCGGGCGCTCCCCGACGGGCGCGTAGTTCCCGGCGATCTGCACGGCCGGATCAGCGGTGCGCGGCAGCGCGTGCCCCCGCTCGAGCAACCCGGCGACGAGGCCTTCCTCCACGGCGTCAATCGCCGCCGCCGCCAGCCGCTGGAGCGGGTTCATCCGCCGCCGCGGCTCCACCGGCGGCGCCGAGACACGCATTGGCCTCGCACCCTGCTTGATCTTGCCATTGGTTGGCACGGTTGCTGTCGCCACCTTCACCTTGGACGGCGGCGGCGGCGGCTTGGCGACCGGCGCGAGGCCGGGGGCGGAAGGCGCGGAGGACGCCATTGGTGAGACGCGGCCAAGATCGCTCGCGATCGATCGATTTGGCGCGGGTTGGGAGGAGGGAGAAGGAGATGGATTCGAATAATTTCGAGGAGGTGGAGGAGGAGGTGAGGTGAGGTGGGGAATGGGAGGGAGGAATCATGGGGAGATTTATAGGAGGTGGCGGGAGAGGCGGTCAAAGGGGAAGTGGGGTTTGAAAGTGGCGGGAGCGGGTGGGGGGGACACGTGGCGGGAGGAGAGGCTGATGGTTTTTGGTTGTAGACGCATGGAATCCTCCTTTGTCTGTCACAATACCACTGCTGCAGTGGCTCAAAACACCACGTGGATGGATCACACTTTTTAATAAGTTGTCCTTGTTGTGTGATTAACGCATGACTAAATTGCTTCATGTTTCTTTTATTAGGGGATATAATCAGTACTCCCGAATAAAAAAAACTAAATTAGAGATGCATTTGATAGTAAAGGGTTATATGATTTCACTTATATGGTCCTGTGTTTAATCCGTAACACGCTCATAATTTCTTATAAAAAATGTTTGGAGGGATATCTCCCTTCAAATCTCGTTTTTTTTAAAAAGTTTAAAATATCATAATTTATTAAATCTTAATACAATTATTCCTTGTTTTTTTAAAAATTTTTAATGTACTATAAGAAAATACCCGTGCATTGCAACGGGTAAAATCTATTTTAATCTAATTATTATTATATATGGTTTAGTTAAGATGACTGTGGAATTCGTTTGGATATATATACTTTTAGAAAGTCATGAGCTGCAGTTAGGAATCCAATAGTCTCAAGTTAATATGCGAGTTTTTTTAGACAGATTTTTTATACAATTCCTTCTGTATTACCAAAAGCAAACGAACTTAAGAACCGATTCAAATATGGATATGTATTTCCAAAACCAAATGAACTTAAAAACATACTCATACACGGATAACGTACCAAAATACCGGCAAAAACATCTTTAATTTTTATATATAATAGTAGAGATTTATCCTCTATTTTCATTAACTTTAATTTGATGTAGTGATTACTTAAAAGTAAATTTGTTTTAGGATAAATAAAAAGGAAAATATATTGTGAAACGAAGGGAGGGAATACCAAATAATTCCAGTTAACATTTTTCTCCAGTGGAGTTAGTGTCTGCCATGAGGAGAGAGAGAGCGCAGAGCAATGTATAGACCTTTCTGCCTAATTAATTTTTACTCGGCACACCGTCCTATCAAATTAAACCAGTAGCTTAGCATAAAAAATTAAACCAATACTCCTAGTAGCTTTTTAGTTAGTTATGCTTCAAATCAAATTCCGGCCACTACAAAATTTTGTGAGGTTCATTTATTGTTTTAACCAACCAATTGGGGAGACTTGGTTGCTTGTTTTTATGGAAACAAGAAACCGTCAGAAATATAAAGTACACCACTCATAAATTTTTTTCATCATAGACGAAAATGTATGGAAATCTGGGTATTCGAGGTTTGGTTTTTACCACTATCCCAACGTGACACTAACGTCACATCTATCCTTATCAAATAGCTTACGATGCATTCTCAAGATGCGTTTTGTACACTATTTTGTTCCAGAAAGATAATTCACCATTCTAGAATAAATTTACTTTCAGTTCCTTATATTTTTCTCGGAGTTTATGAAGTACGGGTATTATATATAGTATTTTTAGTTCTATATAAACATATATAAACATGTGCAGGGATGAGTGGAAAATAAATTTATTTTAGAGCAAATGAAGTAGTACATGTGTAGTGGTATCAGCTGCCTGTACACGTGTCCCTCTCCCTCGAAAGGCCCTGCTTACAAGTTACCCCACACTTAAGCCGTGTTGACTGCATCAAAAAGTGCTTAGATTTTAATCTCTCTCTCACTCTTGTGTTTGTGTATGTGTAGGGTTGGGGGGTGTGTGTTGCTTAGCTGGAACTAGCTGGATATTCTAAACCACACGATGACGTACGTTACCATCGAAAGCCATATTGGGTGGCCATGGTTGCTCCAGCGAATGGAGCCACTCCACGTAACCGGGACACGTGTCACGCCCTCCGTCCTCCATGCACTACTACTGCACCGACCACACACACTCACACTAATGACGAAACCAAATCGAAGACAAAAAGGTTTTGATTAATTAAGCTATATATGCTTTATTAGTAGTATTTTGATTTTTGTTTTTGTTTAATTTCGATGGACGCTACCTTTGAACGCTTCAACGCGGAATTAGGGCGTTTTCAGTGATCTCATGAGCTATCTAATCGACACCTCTCCCATACTGATGTTAAGTTGCACTAGCTTAGTATATAATTAATCACCTATTTCCTCATACTGATGTTGCACTAGGTTAGTACTGTATTACTTAATTTTGATATTAGGAGTAATACTATTGTTTATTCAGTTGATTAATTGGTGAATCCTCTTTTTGCTAGCTGTCTGCCCAAAAGGGTACTCCGCTAGCTTGTATTATGTCGGAGCACCACATATACGCAAGTGCGTGCGTACGTACTAGTACTAATTAATTTAGGAGTAAATTTCACAAAACTAGAGGTATTTTATATAATTTATCATAAAACTACGTATTTATGAGCTTGTTTCACAAAACTATAGTTTTAGTGTCTCCGTTTATCACAAAACTATAGATACTTTGTACAATCTATCACAAAACTACAGATTTAAGAACTTGTTTCACAAAACTATAGATTTAGTGTATTAGTTCATCACAGAACTACACATTTAGTACCTTCATTTATCATAAAACTACAGGTTTAGTGTCTCCATTATCACAAAACTACAGGTTAATGCTAAAACCTGTAGTTTTGTGATAATGGAGACACTAAACCTGTAGTTTTGTGATAAATGAAGAGATATTAAATATGCAGTTTTGTAAAACAAGTTCTTAAATATATAGTTTTGTGATATATTATACAAAATACATGTAATTTTGTGATAAACGAAGACACTGAATATATAGTTTTGTGAAACAAATTCTTAAATCTGTAGTTTTGTGATAAACGAAGACACTGAATCTGTAGTTTTGTGAAACAAGTTTTTAAATCTATAGTTTTATGATAGATCGTGCAAAGTATATGTAGTTTTATGAAATTTACTCTTAATTTATTTGTTTCTCTACAAAACTCACTCCTTAATCTCTAATCTACGTAGTAAATTTTGTTTGATCTATAAAAATCAGCTATTTTGCAGGCGCTCGAAAAAAAATACCCGGTAAAATACATTTATACATGCATATATATGTGATATGTATGTATGCATATATAACATAACTAAAGGTTGGTGTTTATGCGTTGTGTGGACGTTTATGTTGTATTGTGTAACACAACGCCTACAAACATAAGCGTAAAAAAAGTTAATTTATCAATTAAACAATTTGTGTTTCTTAGAAAAGAAAAAAGTTAGGTCACAACCAGCTAATTAATCAATTATTCCCCAGACAACAGTTAATTGAGCGTACGTGTGCCTGGATCACAGAGAATCTATATATCTTGACGACAAACGTACGTGCATGCATGCCTGCCGGTTTAATTAATTAGGCGCTGACTAGCTACGGCTGTGTTTAGTTCAGCGTAAAGTTTGGATTTTAGTTGAAATTGGAGATGATGTGACTGAAAAATTATGTGTATGACAGGTTGATGTGATGGAAAAGTACTAAACTTTGGATCTAAACACAGCTTATATAACCATGCACGCGTAGATTAACTACTCTGATTAATTAATTAACCCCAGTTAATTAATTGAGCTGGACATCGATCGATCTAGGTATATATTGTGATGAAGTGGAGCTATCAGTGCTTAGCTGCAGCATCCAGGGATCCAGCTGCTGCTGCTGCTGGTGGTGGCGACGGCGGTGACACAAGCAGCAGTAGTAGTAGAGGACAGCAGCAGCTTCCCAGAAGGAAGCTTAGATAGCGGCACATTTTCATTTCTTTTTTCCCTTTACTTGACACTTCCATTTTTTAGGTCACCGGCCGGCTTCTCTGTGAAGCTGCATGGATGATGGTAGCTAGCTACCCCTTTTAATTGCATTTTCTCCTTTTATTTTTTCCTTAGATGATTAATTACAGATCAAACAATTAGTTTACTCAACACATGCATGGTAAGGCCGAGTTAGTTTTTCTGCTTCTTCTTCTTCTTTTTTTTTTTAGTTTAGTAGTGCGTATGGCTCCGATCGATTATGCTACAGTTGGGAAGACTTAGAAATATAAACGAAACAACTAAAAATAAATCATGTTAAAAGCTTTAAATTTATATTATTCGCGGTTTAGAAGTCAACGTGCTGGGAAATATGTTACATTTAAAAAATGTTCCAAAATCATTGAAATTTAAATTCCGTACATGGCGGATAAGCCAACATGAGAATAATAAGACTAAAATTAACATGTCAAATATCTAAAATTAGAAAATTCAAATCTATCTCAAAAATATATAACTCCATACTCTTTACATATTGCAATTGTTATACTTTTGACTTGGACTTATGTCCGCAACAACTAAGGGCAAACTTATGATTATGTGGGTGATAGGTGCGGCCGTGCGGATGCATGTATCTTTCATATAATCGTGTAAATAATTTTATGTATGTAGATACTTATGCATCATTCTTTGTACTTTTAGACCTCTTTCACAGGATTGGTAAAAGATTTATATAGAATTTAAATTCCTATATGGTAAAAATTCATTGTGGCTGATGGGCTTTGGACGCTAGGCCCTGAGCCATAGACCAAGGTGCCCGAGGCCTGGATCCATCCCTGCCTGTGTTTTTTCTATCTGCGAATCAAAGGGGTTTCTAAAGGTTTGCCTTGAAGCTCTATCTCTTTCCTCCTTTTATGTATGTATATATAAAGTACTCCCTCCGTTCTTTAGTATATGGGATTTTAGTATATGGGATTTTGATATTTTGCTTACATTGTTTGACCATTCGTCTTATTCAAGAAATTTTAGAATTATTATTTTTACTTACTTTATTATTATCCAAAGTACTTTAAGCATAACTTTTTTTTATATTTACACAAATTTTTTAAATAAGACGAATGGTCAAACAGTGCAAATAAAATATCAAAATTCTTTATATTATGTGACAGAGGGAGTATGTTGTATGTGTGGTCATGAGAATATGAGCATGCATGCATGACACACACGCTTGAAAAACTAGCTAGAGTTTTCCTCCCTTAATCTCAACCTGCAGGTTGGCTCAGCCATAGTCGTAGTAAAGTATCTATATGACTATATGTTGGAAGTTATAAAGTAGT